GTGGTTAACGTCACGTTGTAATCCAACTGCAGTTGAGTTGGACGGCAATTGTAGTTCAAGATGAGCGTTCGATGACGTATACTATCAAACTCACAAATGGACCAATCAGAGGTTAGCGCTGATTTCCAGCTGACGGCGTCCTGTCCTAAGAAACCAGGCCTTTAGAGGATAAATTTAGGTAGATATAGCTAGTATATTGTACATACTCCGAAAATTTGTTCAGAGATGAATTGGTAGGAGAGTTACTTTTTTGACCGAAATTCTGCAGCTGTAGGTCGCATTGTACTCTTCATTGCTTAATCATAAAAAAACCAAGATTTTAATCAATATTAGTTAAATACGATTTTATCTGTAAATAGTATAAAAACACTAATTGTATAAATAATAAAATAATAAAAAATTATAAATATTTTCGTTTTATTTTCGAAAATTAAAATAAAATATATATAGCAATAATAGATTGCTACACCTCTGGCAAGCTGACGTCACAAAATTATAAACTTAAGCAAAAGCAAAAACACAGTGGTTACGTGACTAAACATTCAACAAATGACAACAATAAATAAGTTACGATACTGTGTAAAATATTTTTAGTTAAAGCAATTTAGTATTTCGATGCATGTCCAAAAACGTAACACACGGATACTCAGTATTACTTTAAACAAAAATGAGATTACAGTAAGCATTTTAAATTTAGTTATCCATCCTTAAATTAATTTTTCAAAAATTTAAGTTTCTTTGTGTGTTCTTATGAAATGTATGTATAACAAAATGCCATGTTCTTATAAGTGAAATGCAGGATAGCTCAAAAATATTACGCAAACAACTCCGATAGTTTTCTCCTTACAAATGATTTATTGTTCAACAATCTGATGTCCTGAAATTCCTCAAAAAAAGTTATAGTTTTGAAAATTTTATTTAAATTTAAATAGTACATTAAATAAGTAGTGAATATTTGGCGCTTATAATATAATTATCAATGACATTCAGAACCAGCTGCTGTTAATGTTTTTGTTCTCAGTTTGTGCAAAGTGCTTAAGACAAAACTCACCTTAGGTAGCTTTTTCTTTCCATATTTAAGACAGACCCAACCAGAGAGCATCCCAATCATATGGGCGGGGAGGTGGTAAGATTGATTTGAATAAAGTAGTGTTATTGCTTCATCAACAACACTGAAAAAAAAGGAAAAATAATTGGTATTTATCTAATCTTTTTTTTTATATGTTTAAGAGTAAGTCATTTTTGCATGTAAAATATATATATGAATTTAAATAGTTATTTATGAAATATTATTTCCTTATTGCCTAAACGCAGACCAATATTTCTTTGAAAATAAGTACGCCTCTTAAAGAAGACAGTTTACAAAAGCTAAATGTCTTGGAATTGTCTAATATTCATATAAATTCGAATTTGGCTGTTTGTTACCCCTACTATTTTTAATAATAATAATAAAAAATCCTTCTCAACCTTCAAAAAATATTTTTCGCATTCCAAAAAATAATTTTTAAGAAACCCGAGATTAATAGTAATAATAGTCAAAAACGCTCATATTAGCTTTTGGCGTAATAAATTTCCATCTATCTTATTATATAAAACGCTAATACGTACGTATGTATCAATAAAACCGATGATATTTCTTTTCTCGCGTTGGCAACAGTTTTCATTTTTAATTGATTGGATTCGGCGCGCAAGAGCACGTAGTGAGCATCATATGGCTAATCTATATTATATAAAACGCTAATACGTTTTAATTGATAGGCTTCGGCGAGCAAGAGCACGTAGTGAGTATCATATGTCTAATCGGGTGAATTCTCACCGAATTATCAAAAACATTCTCGCAAAATTATCTTCATCGAAGCCGATGCTTTACATCTGGCGTTCAGTATTATTTCATATTGTCTTACAACACATGGTTTTAGCCCTCTGGTGGGAAAGACTTTAAAACAAAAGTTACTTTTCTCAACAACTGAAATTTAGAATAGTGTGATTAAGAAAAATATGCGAACTGTTTTCAATTTCAAATTAATATTGAAATGCACCGGTTTAGAATTTTCTATAGTGAAAAGCTTTCGGAACTTCAGTGTTCAAAAAAGTATACAAAAGCTAGACGTTAAGAAATTCATTAGAAGACATTAAGAAATAAACTGCGAAAGCAGTTCCGAGGGTTGGCGAGTGCCAGCGAGCAGGGGGCGAAGCCTCCTAGTGTATAAAATAAAGTTATCGTTTTTTGGTCAAGATTAAAGAGTAGCGTTTGAAACTTAAATACTTGAATATTGCTTTTTTTATTTTAGCACTATACCAAAAATAGTAAGTAGAACTTTTAGGTTAACTGGATGCAAAAAATTCAACGATATATTTTTTAAATTTTTTATTTTATTTAATTTTTATGTGCTTAAAAAATAAATAGAAAGAAAAAAAATATAAAATAAGTAATCGCAGGTCTAAGTTTTTTGGAAACTTTTCATTTCCTCCTGGCTAACTGAAAAGTACTGAATAATTTTTGTACTCTTCCTCAAACTAAGCTCTGACCTAAGCCGATAAAAATGTTAAATGAAATGGTATTTTTCTTTGATATAGTTACAAATTAAACAAATCATATCGTTGTCCTATCTGACTGTAGGAGCACTTATATCCCATTCTGATGCGCGTACACATAAGAAAGTCAAACTTACAAACTTGACAAACTTAATCTGACTTTTCAAAATCTGTGTCTATCATCTAATGATTCTGCAACGACAGTTTTGGCAGGAAAGCTTTGCTTACGCGAGTCATTAAAAAGATGAAAGAAAATGGTTCATGTTAGAGTAATGAAGAAACGAAATGTTTGTTTTGGGAAAAAATGACCAGAAGATTTATTTTTGAAACAAAAGTTGCTTTGATATAAGAACAGATTGTCCGACTAGAATTGTTAAGGCTGTTGATCTATGCTCGATCTTTGGCTATGCTTTAAATTCGGGTACGATCTGTTTTTATACTTTCCTCATAAAATTAAATATTTTTTTTTAAACAAAATTGTTCCTGTTTATCGTAAATAACTTTTTTTCGAACAAAGTACTACTAGAACAGAATGTCATCCTTCCTTTTTGCTACTTTTACCGACTAAATACTAGCTATCATTATTCAGTGTTAACTTTTGATCACAATTATATCCTTGACGAAATGCGTCTTAAGTATAATATCTAACTTAATACACTAATTACACTATCTCATTTTTTTTTATCACTACCTATCAATAGTGTAGCAATATTATAACCACTGGCGTGAAACTAATTTTCTATTCTCTGGAGTGGAACTAAAAAACCCTTCTTGCTACATAAGAAGTTTCTATTTTCGATGTAGTATCCTTAGTTATGCTAATCTACAGATAGAAATTACTGGTGTTTGAATAGTTCACCAAAATTCCTGATGATTTATGATTTTATTAAATATATCTGGAAGCAAGATTGTGCAGTGGGATATCCTCATACACAGATAATGACATCCCCGTGAATCCAGTTCCTTGAACTATTTTGACACCAACTAGATTTATTAGTAAAAGTCAAATAGTGTACTTTTCTCGCATAAAAATCATTATAACTTCAAAACTATTTGTCCTACCATCTCGAACATGATCTCTATAGATTCAACGTGAAAACACATTTTTTTAAATAAGCTATATTTAATATTATTCCCTGGTTTTGCTCTTTTTCTCGTCCAGCAGTGATCGCCCAGCAGATCACCGAAGTCAAGCATCACTGGCTGCGGTCAGTGTGCTGTTGGGTGACCACTTGGATCAGTCCGCGTAGGGACCGAGGGTGTGCGGTATTGGTCCTCGTTAAACTGTTCTACCGTAAAGTGCTCGACTTCGCGTGCAGGTCATCGGGCTACCGAAGCGGAGATGCCATCCCCTCTGCAGAGGATCAAAATTGTGATGGCATGTCTTCGGATCATCCTCAGGGATGCTTCCCAGACCGTCGCCAATAGCCCATTGTGCAGCTCTAGGGCGATGTAAATGAACTACAACTGCAACAACAACAACAACAACTGCTCTTTTTCTCTTCTCTCTGCTAAGCCTGATGCGTGATGCCGTACAACTTTTTTTTTCATTGCCAAAAATGAAGTTACTTAATAATTTTGAGTTGGTAGAATGTTTTTTGAGTGTTCAAGTTTTAACGATTTGGAGATTTTTTTTACTGTAATAATAAAAGCACATTTACAACACAAGTTTCGTTGCAAAAATAATGCTTAAACATTATACTTTTTTTCAATGTGTTAATATTCAGCACAGTAAATTTATTCAGGACATGAGGTACTGCACAGATATTTAACGTAGTTTGAAAGTTATGACGTGTAGGTACTGCTCTGATTGGATAAAACCAAAATTTACTGGAAAGAATCGATACAACCATTTTCATGTAGACTTACCATGTGGTACTACGCACAATATGGTAAAAGGCACAAATTATGGCTGCACATTAATTTTTCTGTACTTTTATAATTAATTTTAACTGCTTAATGTATTTACTATACATACGCAGAAATAACGTTGGCAACCACATATTACGGGAAATAATTAAATTTTAAAATTTTTTATAGTTCTACTTTCACGGAGTTATTTTTGCTCTTGTTAAACAAATATTCCAATTTTTTGAATGAATGCTAGTTTTTTTTGCTAAGACGTTATTTACAGCCGAAATTTTGCAAAAAGAACTGAGACATTTAAAGAACTGGCAACTTTAAGAAATGCAGCTAATTACTGTTACTAGACCCAAAAAAATGATCATACCATTTGAATAAAAGCGTGATGTGACCAAATTTTGAACATCATGCTGTATCAACAAAGTGCTCACGGGAGTGAGGTTTATCCTTCATGCCTCACGCCTAATGCGAACCACAGTGCTATCCAGCTAAAAAAATGCTGTTTTTTTATTGGATATATCATTCAGAAATATAGGAATGAGTGATCCTTGCACTCGCAAAGAATTTTTCAAATTAAAATGAATAATAGATGAACTCTAGGACATATAAATAGAAATAACGACTCCATCAGAATCAGAATAAACAACCTAGACTGATCCTAAGCTCCCATGGTTGCTAACTTCCTGTCTGACAGAATTCTTAAAGGCAGAGGAAGAAAAAGCTAAGAAATCACAGACAACATATGCTGACTGAACTCCATATCAAATTCAACCGAAACAAGATATTGATTAGACTTAGTTATAAAGATTCCTGAACAATCTGTAAAAACTAATTCAGTTTAGTTTTTACCCAAATGAACATTGGATCCATCTTTACAGTAAATCAGATTCATGAAATCTTCTCCGGATGTCTAACCTCCGATGTCTCTGATTCTACAAGCAATTCCAAAGATGAAAGCTTCAAAATGATGCGGATTCATCATTCCAAGAGGACATCCCAGTCAGTCTTAGAAATCAAATGTAATCATCTGAAGAATTCTTTTGGAGATTACCACCGAAGAGATTTCCATTAAGATTGGGAATTCGGGGTTTGAGATCCATAAAATCAACCTGAGTTTGTACTACAAAGAGACTTTAACGGATGCTGTTTACTCAGTTTCTTATTTTAAATCGTGTCAGTTTATGATCGTTTAAGTAACAATATAATTAAAGACAACATATTTACAATGTAATTAAAATAAAGCTCTTAATTGCAAGGAACGAGCTTCAAACACGGAGTAAGAAAGCGCACTTTGAGAGAAACTTCGCTAAGTGCAGTAACCGAGAGTGATCAATCTCTCTCTCTTCTAATATCTATTTTTTCTGACAATTTTGAAGCTGTTGTCCCAGCTCTGTAACTTTAATTAGATAAAGTTACTCGCGAGTACTTTTCCTCATTGGGCACATTTTCTTGTTGTTCTTTTTTAACCAGATTTTAACTATACATTTTGTATACTAATATTAAATGTTGGGAAATCATCTTAAAAATTGGTATAAAAATCTGATTCGAAATTTTTTTAAAAATATTACTTGAAAAACTAAAACTTTCTTGAAATTTAGAACCAATTAAGAAATGTCAAGAAAACTGTATTGCAGTCCAGTTTTTGTAAAGGAGAAAGGTTTTGTCATTGAAAATTGCATTAGAATTACGTCAGGTACATGAAATTGGTGGAGAGGTCTTCTGAGTAAGGCGTCATTCCGTTATCTTTTTTCATATTTGAGAGATCTTTTTCTAGTAACGAAAGTTTGACAGTAATTACCAAGTGAGAACCCATAGCTTTGGAAAACTTTACTTAAAAATATTAATAAAACACTTGACTTACTGGACTAATATGAGTGAGTTGAATGACAGAAATGGATATTGGCGTTTAAGGAGTTGATAGCCATAATAAAAACATGGTACAAAAAACAATAGCAACCCCATAAATATTCCAGCTTTGCGGTACCTACAAAATATAAGGCATTTGTAAGTCAGATGAACAAAATTGAGTTTGCTAGCAAAATCAATGGGTAACATAAGTAAAATTTTGTTTTTAACTATATTGTTTCACATACGAGTTGAAGATTGGTTTTTGTGTAACGGTTTAAAAAGGAAAAAAAATTTAAATGGTATTCTAACAAAAAGTATTACTTTATTTTAATTATAAAAGTTTTTCATTGCTTTTACTTTTTTGTTGCTGGGTTAAGTTATTTCTAATTTTAAAAATAATAATAAAAGAAGCTAGACCATACCCGTAAAAGAATAAATTTTTAATCTACGAGGTTTAGAGCTAGTTTGACCTCTATAGTCTGGGGAGTAGTTCTTCACGGAATTTTTTCAATTTTTGACGAGTGTTTTAGATTAGTTTTATTAATCGATTTTCGTATATTGAATGGATTTTAAGGAATTTTATGATAAAATTTTGAAGAAAGTGATTGTTAGAAAGCAATAAAAATGTACTTTTTAAATGGGTTCATGTACAATAATTTAAATTTGTTACTAGTCAGTATCTTAATCTATAATTGTCCCTAGCAGAAGAAAACATCCACTCAGTTCAAACGTAAACTTATCATCATTTTTTAAATGGGATCACTTTTCTCACTAAAGCAATATACTGGGTTTAAAGCCAGGTACATCAAAGTTTAACGATCTGAAAAGTACCAGGTCAGATTTTGTCAGATTTTTGTCAAGTTGTTCAAAGCAAAAGTAATGAATCACAAATAATAATAAATATTTTCTTGGACGCAATAAATCCTGAAAAAAAAATTTTTTTTTGCACCGTTGGTATGTTAAATTTCACAGAAACGAAGTAATAAGTTTTTTTTAAATTTTTTTTAGAGGGAAAGAAGGGTATTTGAAAACCCATACAGATTTTTCACGAAAATTGTCCGCAAAAAAATTACAACTAATATATTTTAGCAACTAATATATACCAGTTGGTAATATAGAGTAACTGATATAGAGCGTTCCAGACTGATCGTAGAAAACTCATTTGTAGAAGAAAATCATTGTGGGCTTCGAATTCGATAGTTAGTTAACGGCAGATCTTGTTTTTCGCTCAAAATCACTTATATTTACCACCAGATTGTAAATGACGTGACTGTGACGTCATGTGACGTGATCCCATTGTTTTATAATTTTCATTTTCTTCTTCTCAATAGTAATCTGACAGATTTCAATCGAGTTCTCGTTTCTTCCTCGCTGCTTACATCTTATGTTGCAGCAATTGCAAAGTGTACTTATCTTGAAAATAAATCTTGAAATATAAATGAAAAAGGTTGATAACTGAAGTAAAAATTCTACCTGTAAATCACAATCATCAAAGGAAGGGAAATTACCAAATGCTGCATTGTGTTAGCCATGAACCAAGTATGCACCAAACACTGAAATAAAAATCGAAACTTTGTTTAGAAATTACAAGTTAATTTCAAAAGTACACTAAAAATACCCAATTGCGTGATAAAGAAGGTTAAAATGTAAATACATTGCATTTGCATTTCTAGAAATGCATTGCAATGCATTTCTAAATGTAATTAGGAAGAGTAAGATATATTTGTTATAGGAGTAAAATATATTATTATTACATTTAGAAAGAGTAAGATATATTTGTTTTTTTCGGGTAGGGCAAAAAATTCTCTTTTGTTTTGAAATTGCTTTTGTTCTTGTTAGTATACTTAAGTATAATAAAAATAGTGCGATGTGTCTTTTAAATTAGAAATTATTTTTTATTTCTGAATGCATTTGATTCTAGGAGCAATATAGCACATTTTTCTTAGCGTGAGTAGCCAAATGACTTTTTTTGATATTGCCGTTCTAAAACACTGGTGTGTAAAAATTATGAACGAAGTGGAAAAACTAGCAAAACAACAAAACAAGCATTTAAAACGTATGAAAATTAATCATCGAGAAGACCAATCACTGGAAGGTTAAGCAAAAAATGTGCATCTATGCACCTTGGGCCATGGTGTAAGGAAATAAAACGAGCTGGTGGTGGAAGCTCAGTACTTATGTGAATGGTATTGCACGGTATACATCAGTTAAAACGAAGTTAATTTATTGTTTATGGACAACAGAAAATCGCAGAAGACGACATCTGGATGAGTTGACGCGATTTCGAATAATTGGAAAATTGGAAGAAGGTCGAAGTGCGACCAGTGGAGCTGCGTGATTCGGGATCGTCCACAGCTTCATTTCATGAGCTTGAAACACATTTCAGAGGACAGGAACAGCTGTTCGGAGGTTTAGTAGAAGTCGAACTTGCACAACCATGATCATCGGAAGACCGATGGATAATCCTACAGTCTAGAAAGCACAGACGGCTGACAGCAGGAGAAATTGATAGACAATCTAAGCTAATAGGCTAGCAAAATACTGGACACCCCGATGTGTTTTACCGTGACCAGGAGACTGAACAAGGGTGTTCTATTTTCACGACTGCCAGTACTGTGTTTTCCATAAACGTCAGTTCTCTGGAGACGCCACATTTAATGTGGTGCCAACAACACAACAACTGCGCAGATTCACAATGAGGTCGAGTTCATCTTCACGAATGATAATGTTAAACCTCATCGTACAGTGGCTGTTACAGAACTGTTGGAGAGGGAAGATATTGCACGTATGGTGAGGCCGGTGAGGTTCTCGGATTTTAATCCGATTGAACTAGTGAGATACACTCTAGGACAGGGGTCGCCAAACTTTTTTGATCATCGACCCCTATATAATTTTTTGAAATCTCCATCGACCCCCACAAAAGTAATTTTCTGCTAATTAAAATAAAACTCTATGAGATACTGTGCTTGTACATTTATTTTATGATTTTAAACATTTATTAAAGTAATAAATGCTTAAAATTTAAATACCTTATTATTAAATAATAAGTAATTATGCATAAGTAGATATAATAAGTAAAGTAACTAAAGATTTACTGCTTCTTGATCAATGAGATGGGTGTGCCTGGTGTTTTTTTGCAAGGTTCGCTATATTGGGTTCAAAATTGGTCAATTTTAATTTTCGTCAAAATTGGTCAATTTTGTAATTTTCGTAAAAAAA